CTATTCAAACCTACTTGAATTGACTTCGGGATGTTTGAGTTCTGGTCTCTCTTTCCATCCCCATTCTTCGCTCCACTCTTGGGCTTATTAAGTGGACGTGAAGGGACAGGTCAGGTTGAAAGGCATCTCAATTTTCAGGAGCTATTTGAATTCTGCAATACTGATCATGTATGATGATATCGTGGGTGGTTGGTACTACATGAAGCTTTGTGTAGCTATGTTTCAAGAAGGATGTGTCCTTGGTGTGCACAGGGTAAATAAATTGCTGTGGAAACAGTGCTTAGTAAGAAATCTTAAAAAAAAAAATGGATGGATGCCAGAAATTGCTGGTGGATGGAGAAAACTGAATTGATAAGATTTTGTTAATGGCTTTGCTTCCGAGTACAATGTGTAGAGATACAGGCGTTTTGTAGTTCTGCTACTGTGCTGGGATGTGCAGAACTCTCACTACAATGAGCACACTTGCAGTGTTGTTAGTTTGTAAACTGACTTGTGTTGCACAAGTACTTGCTGCCAAATAAGCTGTTTCTCAAATTTTAAAAGTTATATTGTTTTCTCCATTTATATAAATTGGGTGTTGTGTTCTGTATGTGAATATTATGAGGCTGGTCAACTCTAATATGAAACAAAGAACTGTGGATGCTGAAGATCTGAAACAAAAACAAATTGGTGGAGCAACTCCGGTCTGGCAGCATCTACGGAGAGGAAAAAATAGTTAGCGTTTTGAGTCCAGTTCTGAAGAAGGGTCATTGGACCCAAAACGTCAACTGCATTTTCTCTCCATGGATGTGCCAGACCTGCTGAGTTTCTCCCGCAATTTGCGTTTTGTTTTGTACTAGATGTACCAGGCTTGTGAAGGTGTGTGGGCGGGATGGCCTGTCATTTACTTAACCGGGCGTCACTGGTGCGTGACTTTAATGGTTTTGCTTTGGTGTTATTATGGCTGCAAGAGACCTGCATTGTTGAGGGTTAAAAGCATTAAAGCAATTCAAAAGCACCTTTTAAGCTGTGCCCGTGCTGCTATAAAATGATTTGCATGTTTGTAGGTTAGGGTGACATGTCCTCTGAGTCCCTATTCTCCGTGCAAGGTAGGCTAACCTTTTTGCTGCAACTTCAGACAGAGCAGCTCGATCTGATGTTATTTGTGTAGTATGTTGATCTTTCATGTACCTCACCACACTGCAGTTGGAGGTGTTTTTAGCAGCTCTAGGCTCATTCTGTAATCTACCTTTATGTTTCTTCAGAAGCAGCCCCATGTCAAAGATAATGAATTGACCGCAAGTTGCACACCCAGTTGAGTAGATGAAAACAGTTGTCGGAGCTAAGATTTCAGGAAAACACAACGTGTTGTGAAACATTTGTGCTGGTGCCCTCTTTGGCACTTACGAAACACCTGGTTTTAAAGTTGAAGAGTTTCAGTTTGAAATTCACCTTTGGAGAGCACATTTTGAGCTGGACCACAGGCACCGCTGGTGATGATGGGTGCGACTTGCGAGTTAAAAGAAGTTACTGTTCCATTAGTTTGATAATGTGTTACCAGTGTGCTACGTGAGCCTATGTAAATACCAGTACGATATAATGCTGCAGATGGTTGCCATGGTTGTATACACAGAATTATACACTATGGACAAATCGTAATGTCTAACGTGAGCACTTGGAGCAGAGTTCTTAGCTTGGGGCACTTTGTCACGCGAGGGAATTGAAGAAATCTCGTTACGAGGATAGCGCAGTGGAAGACTACAGTTGGCTTTAGTATCAAGGCTAAGGGAAGAGAAAAGTTATTCAGTGATTCCTGCTGATTAGGTGTCTGTGGGAATAGACCTTGAATGAGAACTTATTTGTGCTTGGCTGTGATGCCTCCCTTTATCTGAAGAGCATGTAAACACTTCCCATCTAGGTGCATGTATCAAGTCCAGACTCTTGCTACTTGTACCCTCAACTCGAAAGAAAGTGTTGCATTTCTGGAGCACCTCTTGTATCATTGGATGTCTGAAAGCAGTTTACAGTGAATGAAGTACAGTTACTGTTAGAAAGTTGTGGGGGGGAAAAAGGGCAGCTAATTTGCGCACAGTAGATTCCAACAAACAATAGTGTGATAATCTGTTCATCAATTTGTAACGTTAGTTGAGAGACAAATATCAGCCAGGACACTAGGGAGAATTCCCTTGCACTCTTTGAAATAATGCTACGGGACCTTTTACATCCAACTGAGGGGTTTTAATGCCTCACCTGAAACCGGCACCTCCAGCAAATCTGGCACTTGAGTCTTTGTCCTCAGGCCCTGGAGTGGGGCTTGATCCCACAACCATGTAATTCCAAACTGAGTGTGCTACTGGCTGAGCCACAGCTGACACATTCAGTGTCATTTGGGAGTAATGCAGGGGTCTGGAAGAACCCCAAGCTTTATAGAATAAATTGGGAATGTTCTCCGATAGAATAAAATGAAGGAGACTCATCTTTCCTTCAAAGAACACCCAGGTATGATGCACTATATGGCTTTTCTCTCTGATTTCTGTCCTTGGCTCCTATTGTAGAAACTGGCTGCTGGCAATCTTTTTAACAAAGGTCACAGTTGCTCTAAACGCAAAAGAGTGAATGGCTGTTGTTAGGTTTGGATTGGCACCTTCCTTGCGCAGCCCCAAATCCCATTGCGAAACTAAAAGAACAAAACTCTTTCCTGCAGAGAGTCTAATCTGTTTCTGTCCTTCCAAATGTAAAAAACTTAGTGCGAGTGAGAAGTCAGAGTTAGATTTCCGACAACTGGCAATTGTATCAGCTCTCGGCAAAATGCACGTTAGTACAAAACACGAAGAAGACAGATTGGAAAGAATTTTTTTTCTTCAGTCATCATTATAATGTGTACACTACTGCACTATGCAGCTCCAGAATGTGTGCAGAGTTTTTTTGCCAGTGTTGATGGAGAGGACTTTTGTTAAAATTGAACGGTGTGGAGGAATCGGGGTGTGCAGGTTTCTTCGAAGGTCTGAATCCATAGTCTTGTCTTCTAATTGACTTGGTTGTGTTTAATCTTTTTGCAACAGTGCAGGCAGGTAGTTGTGGCTACAAATCATCTCTGCCTTTACTGATCCCTACGAGTTCCACATTTGGTGGCATACTCGACCTTAAGGTCCTTGCTCTCATTTGCAAATTACTGCATACCTTCTCTCCAAAGTATCTTTGCAATCTTCTGTTCTGACTTGTCCTCAACCAATTAAACTCCATTACCAATGGCAAAAATCTGCCATTGGATCTTAACTTTTTTTGCCAAACATGACTACACATTGTCTCTTCCTTCAGCATCCTCAAAATTTAATTCTTCTACTGCACGTTTGCCCATTCTACTCCTGCATTCTCCTAGCCAAATACTGTACCACCTTGTGATGAAAGCAGAAAGTGCTGGAGAAACTTAGGTCTGTGGAAGGAGAAACCAAGTTAAGATATTGCATACAATCTGACTGTTCTTCAGAACAGTTCTGAGACACCAGTTCGCACACTGTGATTTCCTGCAATTGGCAGGGTTCATATCAAACTTGAAAAGTTGACCCTGTTTCTTTCTCCACAGATGTTTCTCCAGCATTTTCTATCTTGTACCGTTCTTGTCCCGACCCGAAATGTCAGCTTTCCCGTTCCTCTGGTGCTGCCTGGCCTGCTCTGTTCCTCTAGCTCCACACTTTGTCCTCATTTCAGCTATCCTTGTTGTCACAAATCCCGTAAGCCAACGTATCAGTATGCTTGTCCGTCTGTGAAGAATTACTTGTATGGAAATAGCCTGTTGTGCACTTTGTTTGCACACTAATACTTGCTTTTTAAAAATGTTATGCACTTGGATTGAGAGCAAATTGGTGTTTTGTTTGTCAGATCGGGCTTGATATTCTGGCCTTTTCTCCATGTGTGATTTTTGCTTTTTGGGGGATGGTGCAAATTGAAAATATTGGGTGGAAAAGTATTCTGTAGTCTCGCCTTTCTCTTTAACTGTTTTGTAACAATGGCATTGTTTTTAGGGGGTTGGGGTGGTTCTTAACTGCTTTGAGTTATTTTAAGTTCTTTGAGGAGATAACATGCAGGATAGATGAAGGAGAACCGGTAGATGTAACATATTTTGATTTGTAAAAGGCGTTTGATAAGATGCTGTGCATAAGGCTGTCGGAGGTGGTACATTAGAATGGGTAGAAGACTGCCTAACTAATAGGAGCCAGAGAGGTGGATCATTTTCAGGATGGAAACCTGTAACTAGTGGAACGCCACTGGAATCTGTGCTAGAGCCACAGTCATTTGCAGTTTATATTAATGACTTGGACAATGGAAGTAAATGTTCTATCGCCAAGTTTGCAGATGACAAAAATAGATCGGAAGGCAAGTAGTGAGGATGACATGGACTCTACAGAGAGATGAAATGAATGAGCAAAAACCTAGCAGATGGAAGTGGATATGGGAAAATTAGAAGTTATGCACTTTGGCAGGATTAGAATTGTCAGGATTGGCGGCACGA